ACACACGTCATTGGGCGAAGTAGGTGTATGTAAGCAGGTATTTTCAAAAATTGAATAGGTTGGTGGGGGCCATCTTGGTTGATTCAATAAATATATTAATATCTTAGAAAATACAGGAGGTTCTTATTTTACATTCTAGCTTGCCAATATTGGTAATTTGAGTATCTAATTTGTAAGAAGCTGTAGACTTTGTATTTGGACATCACAAACATCTAATTTGAACCAGTGCTGCATTCAACATACCACATGACACACAAAAATCAATATTTAGGATTTTTCTTTGTGTTTAGTTTTAAGTTAAGAAATTGACTAATGTATAATACTAAGCTTTGAATTATTATCTACAATTTGATACCAAACTTATTGGCATGCATTCATAAAATAGTAGTTCAATAAAATTATGAATGTGAGTCAACAAACATGATGGCATGGCCTTTGACCCATGTTGGTAGGGATAAGCTAAGTGGTACGATAGTTTTTATTACAATGTTGAACGTGGATTGGTCAAACAAAAAGAGTTACTTGTGTAGATACAAAGAATACTTCTATATTGTTAAATACCAAAATTATCATAGAATAATATTTATGTACTGATGCACAGTGAACAAAGATAAAGTTTGCTGAGTAGTGTGGTATGTTTTCTTTATTGGTTCATATCAGGTTCAAGGTATAAACACATTGAGGAATTTCTGAAAAATAATTACTTCTTTTAATACAGTGTGTGCATATATGGTGGAGGTAATAGAAAAGAACAGATTAAGACAGCTGAGAAAGGAGTAGAAATTGTCATTGCTACACCAGGACGACTCAACGATCTTGTTATGAACAATGTCATTAATGTGTCTAGTGTAACCTATTTGGTAGGTAACTTTTCAATTTTTTGTTTAAAAAGAAAAATCTAAATATCTGTAGGATTTATAGCATCCATTTTGTAATGAAATCTTACTCACCTGAATTCAATAGGAGCAAATGTAAAGCATGTTGATGTGTACAGTTTATTTAGTGTTAATTATTACAGTTATTATACTGTTTGTTTTAATACCTGAACTCATTTGGGAGAAGTGTGAAGCTTGTTGATGTGTACAGTTTCTTTATTGTTAATTATTACAGTAATCATGCTGTTTTAGGTTTTAATACCTGAACTCAACAGGAGACAAGTGTAAAGCATGTTGATGTGTACAATTTCTTTGGTGCTAATGTAAGTGTAGACATAATAAGTATGAACTTAATAGATTGGTTCATGGTAGAGGAAGTCTTGAAACTTTAAATATGAACTTTGTGTTTTTTTAATAATTTCACCTAATTTCTGTAAAAGTTAAACCATAATGGGATATGAGTGTAATAGAATTACTTGCATGTTAAGAGGCAGTATTAAATCATTGTTGTTAACTCTAGAATATTCCTCACTATGAGTGGTTGGACTTGTTTCATGAATTTTCAAAAACTTTAGATTTAGACTTCAAAATTTGCTCCATGATACACGAACCTAAACATGATTATGTTTTGACATGAATCATGTTAAAAGTAACAAGGCAACTGTATGTTGTTATTTCCTCTGGTGATCTTTATTTTCCCCTGTTTTGTTTTATAGTGACCTTCTTTGCCAGTCTATACTCCTTCCACTGTGTCATCCTCATTATTAACTTTGAAGCATTATAAGTAGCAGCAACTTGATACTTTGATATGATTTGAGCTTTAGGCTGTGATGAACAAAGTTCTGTTTGATAGCAAGTCAAGACAATCCTTATAATTTGATTAAATGTGAAGTCATGAAGAAAGTAGACAAGTGTTTTGATCTACACCAAGCAGAATCCATGTGGGTAGGAGGAGAGAAAAGTAAACCTTATTCCAGAACAAAACATAATCATACTTAGTAGTTTAACATTGGTAATGAATTATTAACATAACTTTGTTGTTACTCAGTTTTGTTTTATTGTAAAATAAAATTACAGTGTGTTTTCAGATAAGTGTTTGTGAAAGCTGTTAGTCTGATTTTGTAAACAAAGCTGTGTTTTTACATTGATTTGATAAAGGTAAGTTTTAATGAGAATGAGAAAATCCAGACAGTTACCTTTTAATATTTCAGATATTCATCTTTTTTTATTTTAACTCCTTCAGCACAGGCTTGGTCCCTGGGACCGAACTCGTAACCATTTTGTGCTTCTTATAGTTTTCATGCTATAACTTTTAAATTATTAAGCGAATATTAACAAAATTTGGCAGTTTATCAGTGAACATTACAATGCTTTCATACGCAAAATATAAATTTTCTTAATTAAGTCTTAAGTTTTGTAAAGCAATGTTTTTCTCATGCCTTTTTTTATTTTCACATGTTGCCTATCTATCATGCAAAATAATTTTAATTTTAAGATTAAAAATACTTTTATACATCAGAAATTTTCCAATTTCACATGCAAAATCTTTATAATGTCCAGATAGTTATCAAACATTTCTTAAGAAAAAACTTTATATTTTATCTGTTATTTTCAATAATTAATCTCTGTACGGGGTTTGGTAGATTTGACTGATCTTGTAACAACCATAAAAAATTAAGAATATAAATTATGCCTCTTTCATTCTAAAATGAACACAAATTATAATACGTAAACATAAATGTTTAGACTAAATAGCATAAATCTCATAATATTATACATTTATATATATTTATTCTTTTTACTATACTGACCTTTCACCCATGCCTGACTAACAGTATAGAAGTTACAATGGTGTGGCTCACATGCACTCATGTTACCTTATCAAATAATATAAAACTGACCTTTGGTCTGTAAAAAGTAACTTGTCTTGGCTGTGTTTTAGCAGACTAATATTTTGTAAAATGCAGTCACATTTCAATTATTATACATTGTTGCTATTTTTGAAATAAGTTCTTAAACTTATTTTTCCTAAAACAAAGAACAGTAAATAAAGAAGTAGAGCAAACAATTGTCTCTTCTAGTTACGACATTTGTACTCAGTTGCTGTTTGATGTAGGTTGCTAAGCCTTTAAAAATTTTGCATGTGGAGGATAGGAACAAAATAATTTGTTTTAGGTTTTACATATATATACATTTGAATAACTAAAAAATCATAAATTACTACATCAATACCATAGAATTCCACTATAATTTATCAAGCTTAGTAACTAAGATGTATTTTAGTCTAAAAAAATATGAAATTTTGAGTAGACTAAAGACACACCTTGGTTCAAAAGAAATAAATGGCATCAAGCCCGTTAAAATAGCTGAGAAAGTCATTATGGGACATTCTGAGCTTCCGATTGGTTATTCGTGTCATATATAAATATAAATGTATATAAGGGAGCTTTTCCAAAAATGGAAAGTGGTGGGCATGGTGCCACTGTGATTGATTTATTACATGAGTAATATCTTAGCAAATAGAAAAGATAAGACTTTCTTATTTTATATTTTAGCTTGTCAAGATCGGTAATTTGAGTTTCTAATTCGTACAAAACTACAGAATTAGTATTTTGACTTCATAAACATCTAATTTGAATCAGTGCTGCATTCAACATACCATGTGACACACAAAAATTTATGTTCATCTATTTTTTAATGTTTATTTTTAAATTAATAAATTGAGAAATGTATAGTACTAAAATTTGAATTGTAATCTACAGTTTGATACCAAACTTACTGACATAAATTCATGAAATAGTAGTTCAATAAAATTATGAATGCAAGTTAACAAACAAGATGATGTGGCCTTTCACCCATGACCCATCTCAAAAGGATTAATATAAAATCCATGGTCTTCACTCCAATTGCATATTGTCCCCGGATACCACAGCCCTCAAGCCTCCGCCTTTTGGCACTGTGTTAAGTGGTTTATGAAGTTTCAAAAGGGCACCATAATTAGATTGATATTGTTTAAGGTTTGTATTATGAGTGGAAACTTAAGAGAATAACATGAAGAGGCCAAACTTTGACCATGGTTTGAAAATTGGTATGTTTGGTGTGATGCTTTGTAGAAGAGTAGAATTGAAAGTATTTTATGAACACATAAAGAACATGTACAAGAAAATTATTTCAATAAATATTCCACATTTATGGATGTTTTCATGAAATATATATATATATATTCATGTGTGTAGATATGTGTCATGCATGCAATAGGATATCAAGGGTACAAGAATATCAAGATCAATGAGTATTTGAATTTCACAGCAAGTTCCTTCTGCATCATCAAATTTAGTAAGCAAGACAAGAAATTTAACTTCTCGAGAACAACAGGTGAAATAACAGTATCATTTGTAAAACATTTTTAAAGCTAATGGCCACAAATGCTGTAATCAAACCATCACCAAAACCTCAAGTACAGCACCTTAAATTTTGCTGTTAGTCAAGCAGATTAGACTATCATTACTGCATTAAAGAAATACATATTTTTCTAGACATAACATGAAAGGAAAATTTGTGATATTTAAATATAGAGCAAGGATGCATAAAAAGTATATTTTAGAGCTACAACAAACTGAATCATTTAAAAAAACATTTATTCATGTTGTTTCACTATAACGTTGGCAACATATAGTAAAATATTTAATATAAATATAATTTTTTCACTGTAACATCATTTTGACAATTTCAAAATGCATCAAAACTACTTTGCACTGCATAGCGAGGCAGAGCGCATTACCTCGTTGTGCTCTTCTGCGTTCAAGTGTCCTGCAAACAAGCGTTAGTCCAGTTTCCTGCTATCTTTGGTACTGTGATGACTTAACTTGTCATGTTGTGCTTATTACAACTCAACCTTTCAAGCGTGTCTCGAATCGCCAGCAAGCATGCCAGTGAAGAAGGCATATAAAGCAATTGGCTTTATATATTTCATGTACAATATTTATTTATTTAGTTTGTTACAAATGTTACAGTGTGTTTGGGTACTTGTTTAATATCTTTTCTTTATCTAACAAGAACGTATCCCCTATTTATACCATTATTTCAATGGGAAGATAGATTTCTATTTATATCATTTCATCTAAAGCAGGAATGATGTGAACTGATGAATTATGGGAATTAGGCTTTTTTAGATGTCTTTTAAACATGTTTCTTATTTTACAGTTAATAGGAATATCTTTTTTTACAGATTTTTATTTTATGTATGTTTATGTAAAAAAATTAAATGTATTAGAATTTTTTGGTTTCAACAGTTTGTGTATGCTTCAGGTTTTGGATGAAGCAGACAGGATGTTGGACATGGGCTTTGAACCTCAAATAAAAAAAATATTGCTAGATATTAGACCAGACAGACAAACTGTGATGACAAGTGCAACATGGCCAGAGGGAGTTCGGCGGCTGGCACACCAATATATGACTCAACCGTTTCAAGTATTTATAGGAACATTAGACTTAGCTGTAAGTAGTAGAACTTTAGAGGTACAATTCTAACTAAGACCGTTGAGCTTTAGATCTAACTTAAGCCTGTTAGTTGACCTTTATATTAAGCGAAATGATTTCTCAGGTCAGTGGTTTCCAATATTTTTCCAACTGAGGACTTGCTTGTTCTAATCTCAAAATTTCACAGACTACTTCATACACTAATAACTTTTTAAAATACTTCTAGATTACATTATAAAACAATATACTTCAGTAACTGTATCTTAAAATGCTTTTATTCTCCACCATCTTGTGGAATGGAACCAGTACATGATAAATCTGGTAGTTTGGAACAACTGTCTTAGATTATAGGTATTAGTTGTTTTGAAGATCTTGAGATGTAGATGCTAACATATTTCCTAATAACATCATTTCTTAAAAAAATAATCTCAATTTATTTTACTTGCTTATAACTGGATATCCCTTTGATCTGACAATACAATGTTGTAAGTGTTATACTAGGTCTGGCACAGATGAAACAGTAGATTTAATAAATTTTATTTGTTAGAAGTAATATAACCATAGAATTATATGAAGTTTATAATGTACACTTTTTTTAATTTCAAAAAATGTAAAATCTATTTCTAAGGTTTTTAATCTTTGTTTTGGCATTTCAGGCTGTACATAGTGTAACACAAAAGGTTTTGATTATTCCACAAGAAGAGAAACGCAAAGTTGTGAGTACAGATTTATCCAAAATTATGTATAAAAATAGTGATAAAGTGTGAACAGTTATTCATTAGATAAATAATTTGTCATTTAAAGGTGTATGTTCTCCTTGAGTGTTTCCACTACATACCTGTTTGAAGCTCATACCAAAATAAAAAATGTGGTAATACATATGTTTAACTCTTTTGGGGTCTGCAGTGACCTTGAGTAACTTTGTGTGCAAAATTGCATATCAGTATTAAAAATTTGATTAATTTAAATAACATTTATTTCAATAATTTTGAATTAAAAATAGCATAGAAAATTACATTACAACATTTCATAATCATTATCAGTTACAACTAAAAATTGAGAAATGTCTGACCTTTCATTTTTGTAGTGCCTGTAATAGGACTGAACAGCATACTGTGTATTTTTTCTTATTTTTGTCCAGATTATTTTATCTGATAATTAGGTATGTAGAATTACAAAGACAGCTTTCAGAGGCAGTATAAGCTGAGCTATGATTTAACTGTATGAACTTGCCTGGTTTTATCTCCAATGTAAAGTCCTGATAAATGAACATGTATCTCAGGTTTAAAAATAGACATGTCCTTCAATTAAAAATTGTTCAAAAGGGGAAATTTTTAACTTCAAAACCGTGTAAACAACTTGCCAATTTTTTGGTCTATACATTATGAAGAAGTAGTCTAGTAAAGTCACACTTGAACACAGTGTTTTTAGAAGTAGTTCTGAGGTAATAAGACACTTCAGAGTTATTCTACAATCTCTGGAGACTTTTCTCTTGTTAATACTGGATTTATGTTTTGAAATCTACAACAAGAATTCAGGCAAGGATATTTAGGGTTGACAAGTATATAGGCCGATATAGAGAGTTTGTGAAGTACAATTTGGCCATATGTTATCATTGTTCATTCTGGATTTATGTTCTTCTTAATGGGTTACATAACTGCTTTAGTGAGCAGAAAAAAATTACCAAAAGAAAATTATAAAGGTAAATAATTTATTAAATTAATATAAAACAGATTAGAATTGGTCAGACATGAGTAACTAATAAATCATATTTTGTTAGTTTTTTTTTTACATAATGTAAATCAATGATTTCAAATTTCCATAAATTTGAAATGGTATTACTTGAATAAAAAGCAAAAAAACTGTTGGACACATTTAGCCTAATAACACGAAAATATGAGAAATCTAAGACAAAAGAAAGGTTTTTGTTATTTTTTATAGAAATAAAACTTTACAAGGACCTTAAATAAACAAGCTAAAGTGTCGTAAAGATACTAAATAATAAAATGATTTTTTTTACATATAAATGACATTTTTTTTTAGAAAGTTCATTTCTAGTTTTGTGCAGTTTTATTGTATAGTTTGAAAATGTGATTGGTCACACTAGAATATATATATTCTAAAAAACATTGGTGTATTTAGGTGGAGTTTGGAAATGTAAGTGGTATTCATTAATAGTAAAAATAAAAATGTTCTTTATTCCTGTTACATTATAATGCTACTAATTAAGGAAAGTAACAATATTAATTAAAAACTGAAAGTAGTATTTTTTATTTTCTATAAAAAATCACTGGAAAACTTGTGAAATTTTTTACCCTAAACACACAAAAAAAGGGTCATGCATTGCCTGCTTCAGTGAAAGTAGTATTTTTTTTATTTTCTTTAAGAAATCACTAGGAAACTTGTAAAATTTGTTTTCCTAAACACACACACACAAAAGGGTCATGCATTGCTTGCTTCAGTGTTTGCACCATAAAATTTGTTACTGTTAGTTAGTGCATGATTAGCTTGGCTAGTTGACGTTGATAAGCAAAATATTACAGAATAGTATGTATTGTATGACACATGTTTATTGACAGTGCTAAACTGGTAAAATCTTAAAATCATATATATGAGATTATTTTTTTAAGAATCCAGAACAGAAATTTTTATGTCTAGATGTGTTACACATGTGTGAAGGTCAGAGTAATTCACTTAACTACATTAAATGTGCAGTTATTAAGCAGTAAAACATTTGAAAATTTTAGAATGACTTATCTTTCATCTTTTCAAGAAGCCTATGGAGATTCTGTTTTTATAACCAAACATGATTGAACAAACAAAATATTTACCAGCCTGGAATAGTATGTCCAAAGGTGTGTTTTTGTGTGAATACTTATTTTAAATGAATGAATAGGTATGAGAGGTATCTGATAATTCACTGTCACAAAGCTTTTAATGAGCTTGTAGTTGTTTTCAAAATCTCATTTTACATGTAGTTGTTAGTTAATGCAAATAAAGATGCCAGGCTAACACTAATTTTAAAACTTGAAAATGTGTTTTGATTTCAGTTGTATGAATTCATTCAAGATATGGAACCGGATGATAAAGTTATTGTTTTTGTTGACAAAAAAATTGTGTAAGTATATTTTAGAATTAGCAGTTAAACGACATACTTAATAACATTTTGAAATAGTTATCCTTTAAACAGTGATGCAGGGGTTTCATTAAGAAACTATGTTTACTTTACTATGTTTATAAAAGGTTCCAAAACACTTATTGAAATTTTTTCAAAGATACAGAAATGTTTACAAGAGGGTCAGTATGTTTTATCGAGAAATTTTGTCCATAAATACTCATTTATAGTCATACCAGCCTGTTTTTTTCATATCTTGTCTTGGGGTGAAAAATGGAATAGCTAAATCCTGCTTGTTTCTAAGTGTAATGCAAAAATACACAAAAGTACGTGTACAATGCTGAACTAACATTAAATTTTACAAACAATAGGACAAGGTGACCAAAAAGTAATGTTAAAACAAATGCAAGCTCAGTACTAAGACTGTCATATTGTACATTTTACACCTGCATAGTGTTTATCCAGTTTAGAACTGCTGTTGAAAAGGTCTACATTTTTATGATAGTAAGATTAACTAAATGTTTTTAATTAGTTTTCTAATGAAATTAATAAGTTTTAAATTTTGAAATCACAACCCGAATTTTGTTGGTTTTTTAGTCTTATCTTTTCTACAAATAATTTGTAAGTGCAAAATTTCAAGCTTAATAACCTGTATTGACTTACATTCCTTAATATCCTTTTTCTACATTTGTATTTTTTTTTCTTGAAAGATTAAGGTGGCACATTGGAGTTGGCAGAAGAAAGCACAGAAAATGCATATTAATATGATAGTAAAATTATCAAATACATACTTTTTATTGTCTATGTTTTTGAGCATTTTATCCTATATTTTGGCATAAAACTGGTTCATGTTAATAGTGATATCACTGTTACAAACACACAATTTTTCTGAAAAATGACTGATAATAAAGCCAATCCAGTTAATCTCTTTAACCCTTTCACCATGTAATTAGATTTTGTGGTCAGTTCCAAATCAATGTCATTTGTTCATCAAAAATGTCATAAATTAGCAGTATATTTCACTCTGTTATGCATTATGATATATAAGACACACTTACATTGCATGTCCTGACATTATGCCAACAGTAACTTTTAGGTTGTTTTTAAGAGTTCACTTATATTACCTTTATTTTGTTTTTAATCTAGCTGATTTTATTTTAATTTTATTTTACCTGTTGGCCTTGTATTAAGATAAAAAAAAATTAGCTCAATCCAGTTCTTAGTTTTTGGACTTGTATGTTATGTTAACTTGCATAATATTTTTTGTTTGATTTTATTTTTTTGGTAAATTGTTTAAAACTGAAATAAAATTATTTGAGACAAAAGTTTGTGTGCTAGGTATAATGAGATTATTGAAGGATGTGTATAAAAGAAGAAAGACTTAAGATGATAGTCATAAGTTTCTTTCATCCTTTCCTGTAGTGCTGATGATCTGGCTAGTGATTTGGCTGTTAATGGGATCATTTGTCAGTGTATTCATGGAGACAGGTAGGTTTATATAGTGGTTATTTTTCAGTATAGGGTTAACTCTTTCCATATGGGTTACAGGTGAAAGGCCATGTCATCTTGTTTGTTGACTCGTATTCAAAACTTTATTGAACTACTATTTTTCATGAATTTATGTCAATAAGTTTGATATAAAACTGCAGATTATAATTTACATTTTAGAACTATACATTACTCAATTTGTTAATTTAAAAGTAAATATTAAAAAACAGAGATAAACATAAATTTTTGTGTGTCACATGGTATGTTGAATGCAGCACTGATTCAAATTAGATGTTTATGAAGTCAAAATACTAATTCTGTAGTTTCGTATGAATTAGAAACTCAAATTACCGATCTTGAAAAGCTAGAATATAAAATAAGAATGTCTTATCTTTTCTATTTGCTAAGATATTGCTCATGTAATAAATCAAACACAGTGGCACCACGCCCACCACTTTCCATTTTGGGAAATGCTCCCTCATATACACTTCTATATTTGACATGAATAACCAGTTGGAAGCTCAGAATGTCTCCTAGTGGTTTTCTCAGCCTTTCTAACATACCTAGCACTATTTCTTTCTTTTAAACCAAGATTTAAATTGGGTAGGTTGTGTCTTTAGTCTGCTCTAAATTTCATATTTTTTTAGACGCAAATACAGCTTAGTTACTGAGTTTGATGAATTATAGTGGAATTCAATGGTATTGATATAATAATTTATGATTTTTTAGTTATTCAAATGTATATTATATATATATAATCTAAAAAAAATTTTTTTGTTTCATACTCTCCATGTGACTAAAATTTTAAAGACTTAAGTAACCTACGTCAGGCAGACAATCGAGTAACAAAGGTTAGTAACGTAGGAAGAAATTAATTGTTGTACTTTACTTTCTT